GGGGGGTGTCCTCCTAATGTCCTTACAGAAAATCTATCTGCTCATTTTAAATCAATGCTTTTACTTTTAATACGCAAGTACAAAAATAACAGATACTTTTACTCCAGTAATACTCTTAAAGGAGACGTTAATTTTTACCAAAGTAACTTTTTGGTTATATACTTGTACTTTTACTCAAGTACTTTGTCGTACTTCATACAATGAGTACTTTTAAATCACATGTTCAGTGCACATAATCAAGGTGCATGCGAAGGTGTATTATTATATTTTTGGTATAAATGGAACCCCATACACTATATTTGTTTTTTTTTTGTTCTTCCACATCTCCTCAATGACTTAAATTAGTATTTTATTTAAGCTTTTGCACGGGAAGGTAGTTGCTAAAGGCTTCATGCTATTTTGCTGTCAGTTAGCATCGCTTCCGGTTAGCTCAGAGGCTAAGTTGTTAGCATATTGTAATAAAAACAGGTGAAAAGTTGTGTGTCTGTGACTGTCATGTGAAGTGTCAGTTTGTAACATGACTCAGAGCGTCACAGGCGGAAGGTCACGGAGCAGCAGGACGGAACGGAAGCGGGAGGAGAAAAAAAAAGCCTATCCGCCATTGTGGAATATAGTAAGAGGGGATATTCCAGTGAGGTACCAGTCAGTTTTAGGTTGACTAATAAATATCATTTGAGGTTGGAATCGACTCGCCGATTGACGCCGGTCTTTCTTTGCGGGACACGAAGCCGCCCMGTCGGAAGCCAGCAGAAGAGAGAGGCAGGTCGTCGTTCGGGGTCTGAGCAGCACGGCAGGAGAAACGCCGCCTTGTAACGTTTCGACTGATTGGACGGAGCCAGGGGGGAAAAAAAAAAGCACCGAAGTGCAGAAACACAAGACACAGGCAGGAGGGGTGAAGCCGTGGACAGTCTCACAAACAGCGATTTGTTTTCGGTTCCCGGAGGATGTCTGCGACCACAGTTGATCAGGTTTGGAGAGTTGTTTCCGTGCTATACATGCTAGCTTGGCTAGGAAGGAGGTGGGGGGGGAGGACCGAAACTTTACCAACAACAGTTTGAATCGGGTTTGGCACTCCAGATCAGACGGGCGGCAAAGTCTGTGATATGTGACGACTGTTAGCCGAAGGTAGGCCGACCGCACTGCCGTGTGCCAGGGGCTGTAGCAGCCTGCCAATGCGGCACCGTTTACTGGATGTCAGAGAGCGTTTGACATCCGCTCAGAGAGACGAAGCAACCTGTAAATGTTAACATCCGGRCTGAGAGCTGGGCTCACAGCCACAAGCTTTCAGGCTGATATGACATTTRTGCTTCTTGTTTTCTTCTTTCCTGTCGTGCTCCTTAGTATAATGCTCATTTTTCTGTCCGTTTTATTTCAGAGACCTAAAGGACAAGGAGGAAATAAAGGTAAGACTGTGATTTGTAATTGCTGTTCTGTTGTGATATGTTGTCACTTAGTGTTTGTGAAATGTAGCCGAAACAACAGCAGCCTGTAGCTTCATGAACACATCACTCCATACCTCTATACAGTATATGTAACCATCTGACATCTTGACWCTTACATTTGACAACACCGTGTCAAACATGACGTTATTTATTCATATTAAGTTTTTCCTCTTTTCTGTTTTAAGTGCAAAACGGATCAATGCATCAAAAAGATGGTGTGAACGATGATGACTTTGAACCTTATCTAAGCGGCCAGACAAATCAGGTAATGTATTATAAAAGTACACACRGTGTGATCTGTTCTGACAAACTCTTCCTGTAAGTGTGGTGAATATTTATTTCATATCTGTGGTATTACTCTAGTACAGTGGTCCTCAATCTTGATCCTCAAGGGCCATTATCCTGCAGATTTTTCTCTGCTTCATCACACCTGATTTAAATAACCTGATTACCTGATTAACAGGCTTCTGCAGAACTTCAAGACTTRCTCAAGAGCAGGGAAACAACTAAAACATGCAGGATGTTGTCCCCCCGAGGACCAGGATTGATGACCACTTCTTTAGTACAATAAAGAGTAATAGTAGTAGGGAAAGGTGAATGTTAATATTTTTGTCCATGGGTCAGTTTGTTACAAAAATATCTCATGAACCTGCGGACGACTTTTGAGAAAACATGCCGAAACTAATTAATGGATGAAAAAACCCAATTCAAAATGGCTGCCACAGATAAATGTCCTTAACAAAACRTAATTATAACTCACTATAATGTCAGTTTTACATTTATTGCAATAAATGCAATTATGCGGAGCATTGTTTTCAAAGTTTGACCAAAATGGCTGCAACTCTATTTGTCAACATAAATGATCGTAGTCTATTGATTGGAGAACTTTTTTTTCTTTAAACAGTTTTGGTACTGTATGTATTTATATGTCTGATTTGATAGATATTTTGTAGATACTAGAAATGATATGCATTTATTTCAACTGAGGTTTTCAATGAGCAAAAACAGGAAAATTAAAACTTATTATAAAAAAAATCCAAGGAACTAATAATAGATCTATGAAATGTTTTCTCTCCCTGTATTTGAATAATCAGATAAAAATTTTCAAAATTAACTCAGAATATGCTCACATAATTCCACATAGGCAGATTTGTAGTAATTATGTTTGGTCCTTTTTATTGTACCCCACTGGKGATAAATTTATTGTATATTTTATGTGACAGCTATACAGAATATTACATGAATTTATTCCATTTTTTTATTTGTCTTGTAATTCTGTATAATAAATGACACAACTGTTTTTTGTGCTACACAGAATAACAGCTATCCACCAATGTCTGATCCCTACATGCCAAGTTATTATGCTCCATCCATTGGCTTTCCTTATTCTCTGGGAGAGGCTGCTTGGTCCACAGCAGGAGACCCACCAATGCCCTACCTTACTACCTATGGACAGATGAGCAATGGTGAGCCGCACTTTATCCCTGACGGGGTTTTCGGCCAGCCAGGTGCCCTGGGAAACACCCCTCCTTTCCTGGGCCAGCATGGCTTTAATTTCTTTCCCGGCAGTGCRGACTTTTCAACCTGGGGTACCAGCGTCTCTCAGGGCCAGTCGACGCAGAGCTCAGTCTACAGTAACAGCTACAGCTACGCTCCTAGCTCGCTGGGTAGGGCTATCACGGACGGACAGGCGGGCTTTGGAAGCGACACCCAGCTCAGTAAGGTTCCAATGCTGAGCAGCATTGAGCAGGGCATGGCAGGGCTAAAACTGGGTACGGACATGGTGGCAGCTGTCACCAAAACCGTGGGCTCCCCTTTAGGAGGCACAACAGGTATGAGCAGTACGGCAGCCAATAATCTTCCCCCGCCCATCAACTCGTCTGTGCCRAAACCTGCCACCTGGGCAGCCATCGCCAAGAAGCCGGCTAAACTCCAGCCRAAGGTCAAACCCAAAGCCAACATGGGGATGGGGGGGCCTGCCACCATTCCCCCACCCCCAATAAAGCACAACATGAACATTGGTACATGGGACGATAAGGGCTCCTTAAACAAACCTCCACTGGCTCAGACTATGATACCCCCACAACCTCTGATGCAGCAGCCTCTCTTAGCTCAACCCCAACCCTTATTGCAGAACCCCCTACCTCCCCAGCCCCCACACCAGCCCCAGCATCAACACCAGGCCTTTCAGCTGCAGTCTCTCCACTCCCCTCAGCACCCCCAGCCTCTGCCGCCTGGCCCTCCACACTTACACCTCACCTCCCAACCTGGCCTCCCACAGCCCCTCCATCAGCAACAACCCCAGCATCCGGGACCTCCCCCAAATCGTTGGATTGCTCCCAGGAACCGGGGCGAGGCCTTTGGTCTTGGTGGCGGAGTCCCGCTGAGTGCCTCCCCCTGTTCTGGAGAAGTGCACCCTGTGCTGGAGAAACTCCGAGCCCTCAACAAYTACAACCCCAAAGACTTTGACTGGAACTTGAAAAATGGACGCGTCTTCATTATCAAGAGCTACTCAGAAGACGACATCCACCGCTCAATCAAGTACTCTATCTGGTGCAGTACAGAGCACGGCAACAAGCGCCTGGACAGTGCTTACCGTTCATTAGGCAACAAGGGGCCCTTGTACCTGTTGTTCAGCGTCAACGGCAGCGGGCACTTCTGCGGCGTGGCCGAGATGCGCTCACCCGTGGACTACAATGCCTACGCTGGCGTCTGGTCTCAGGACAAATGGAAGGGCAAGTTTGAAGTGAAGTGGGCTTTCATCAAAGACGTGCCCAACAACCAGCTGCGTCACATCCGGCTGGAGAACAATGACAACAAGCCAGTGACCAACTCCAGGGACACTCAGGAAGTGCCCCTGGAGAAGGCCAAGCAAGTGCTWAAAGTTATCGCCACTTACAAGCATACCACCTCAATATTTGATGACTTTGCACATTATGAGAAACGTCAGGAAGAAGAGGAGGCTCTGAGGAAGGTGAGCTGAATTTACTTAGTCGTTTACTCTTGTTATGGCCTTTTTAAAACATTTGTTCAAATATTTTTGAAGTAAGGATTTCTGGAGAGGTTATAAACAAATATGTTACTATTTTTTTGCAAATGACTCTGGTCATTTGAGGAAAACAGAGCTTAATTCTGAGCAGCTTGATTAGTGAACAGCTATTCTTAGCAGGGTCAAGACTAAACAGTATTTTGTAAACCTTTATGCTACCATCCGTTTTACAATAGATGATTACTCGAGCAGAAATATGATCATTTTGTTGAAAGTGCCTCAGGCTACATCCAAAGTACTACAGCAATTTGTACTTRCATGTAATCATAGTAGTCTTATGTAGATAACCTTATAGTGCAAAATCACTAGCAATATGAAAGCTTAATAAAAAGTGTTCACATAGCTTGTTATAAAATTTGTCAGACTGGAGTTTTAAGATGATATAAAACCAGCTTTTAATCTTGCCTACACTAGCTGTTAGCTTGTCAATCAGGTCAAAATTTAATGTTTTCTCCAAACTGAAGCCTTTCAAAAAAAACTTTTAACAGGTAAGATACTAATTGGATGTCATTTTCCAACAAAATCTTACTCCCAAAGATCTGCACTATTACAGTAGTTCAAAGCAAGGCCAAGTTTTAATGAATTTCTGCCGCAGGCTGTTGTCATAGTGGAATCAGCTGATCTTGTTCCACACGCTCTGAGCTTGTAACATCCTGTGGCTGCACCAGGTCTGCAGTAATTGGAAGTTTCCCGAGGCCTGTCAGCAGATTGAAGTGTCAACGTCACTCATAAGTTCAGGAAACCCTGAGTTTGCAGCAGGAATGAGTTTCCCAAGTCGAGTTACATGACTATTGGGTTTCCTAAAATAGCCCACATTCCTGGCATTCCTGTTTCCAGTCAAAGGCAGATGGAAGCTCCGATCTGCCTTTGAACAACCATCCTGGCTTTCCACTGGCTCCTCATGCTTTATTAGGCTACAATAATATAAGCTTTTAAGCTGGTTAAAATGTACCTCATTTTAGCCAAGTTTTCTTTTGTTTACTCAACAGAATTTATGATAATAATTACATTTGACTGTGCACATGCTTCTAAAAATTGCACACTCTTTTTATCCCATCAGAGGGGAAACAGCAGCAGTGATAATATTGGTGTTGTAAAGCAAATGTTAGTCCAGCCAAACAAACCTCAATAGGATGCTGCAGCTGTGGAGAAACTAAAGAACAAATTGTAGCATCACTACTGGCATTCTGCTGCATTCATTTACCAGTATGTTAATTTTCATCAATAAAACCCACATTCATTCCCATTCAGTTTTTTTAAATTCTTTCTCCCCTTCCCAAACTACTGCCGCTCCACTGATGTTGTATTGACTCCTCGCTGCTGACCTTGTTAATATGCACTGGGTTACTTTCTCATAAATATTTCAAGTCAATGTTTTCAGGCTTCTGAAAACAAACTGTCAGTAGAAAGCCAGTTTCATTCTGCGTCACGCAGGCGTTGAGCCGTGCCGCTTTTGTATCCCCGACCTCGTACATGACAGGATCTCAGCGGCTGGGGCCTTGCCCTCCTTCACCTGACAAGGTGAATTGTTGTCTATTGTTCGGCCTGTCCTACTAGAGCTTTGAGAGGCGTCAACCCGGCAGAGCTACCTACACAATAACACCTTCATGCAAAAATAATTTGGCATTTAAATATCAATACCATGTACCATCGACATTAATGATTTTGAATCATTAAATTGATTTGTAATGCTTTGATATTGTCCATGATTGTATTGTGGTTTACTGTGAATTTTATTTTTTTGTTGTACAAACAAAAAGGTGGGTCGGTTTCTTTTAATTTGGCAATACTTGATGAGAAATGAAAGGCAACACAGACTTGAACCATATTTCTTAAAGTCAAAATACAAAATAATTCAAATCGAAGCTCAACAAGTGGTACTGGGCTGTTTGTACACAGGAGGTTTGTCTTTAACAACATTAATTAGAAGGAAAAGGGCGTTTCAAAGCTATTGAATGGTGGCCCTCGTGGGTTTCCGTACATCCACTTCTCACCCTCTGCTGCCGCCGTAGATCAAGGAGGACCTGCATACCCGAAGAGATCTGTGATCTCAATGGGATTTGCCTGGTTAAACAAAGATAATAACTAAAAAGATCACTGGGAACCCAAACGTTTTCACACTGCTGATGTGAAACTAACAGAGAATTATGCTAGTGGAAAAATAAAGAATAACATTCTGCTTAATTGTTGAAAAAAACAAATACATCTTTTAGGTAACATTTATTGATTGATTAGAAGCACATGCCTTGTATAGACCGAACTGCTGAGGATGTGAAGTTACTCTGGGGGGAGCTGGGTCTCAGAACTGACATGGACCCCCTCAAAGAGGACACTGTTCAGACTGAGAAACAGTGAAGTATCTTTCTATGATAATGTTTATTTGCATATTTCTACAACTTTTACATTTTTTTTTTGTAATTCAGCATTCACCTTATTTGTAATCTGCATCAAACCTTTGTGTTGTAGGAGTGTTTGTGTCATCCTCAGGTTTTCTTTAGTGTGTCTACCTCCTTTTTATCTGAGTGAGACAACAACAAGCCAAAGGTAGTGTCTGCAGTCTCATGACGGTGTCGACAAAGCTGATTATTTGGTCAGTGCATGTTTTAGGGCCTTAAAATTCATTTTTTTCTGTTTTCATTGTGAAAGTATTTTATTTGCTTGTTTTTACTTTAATGTTAAACCAAAAATGTTCATACGTCCCTTCCTTTAGTAAATGATTAGTATTTTCATTCACTGTATTGGAAATGAACATAATTACAGTAAATACAGAACAAAGACAAAATATCTAATTCTAATCTTGAGTGTTTTACATTTAAAGAGCCTTATCTAGTGAGTGAGTTGTTCACATGGGGTAAAAGCCTTTTTTTTTTTGGTCAGTTTTTTTTTCCAAGTATTGACCCTGACTTTTATCTTTTAGAGGACTGTTTGTGGTGTCTGTTGTGTGCCGTTTGGGTTGTGTATCTTGCATCATGTGGCATTTTCTTATCAAGCTGTAAATGTTAATGAAAGCAGGTTGTGAAACCAGCATTTTCTGTGAGAATAGAAAGCCAAGCTKCACTGAAACTATTTGTAAAGGTCTCTTTCTAATCTAAACAGCAGAAGAGATTTAGTGAAAATGTTTTTTTGGACTTGCAAGACATACTTATTTTAAATATATTTTTATAATGATCAGTGGGGAAAAAACACTTCCTAAAAATACTTATGWTCCAACTTTCCACCACAATGAGTGTGTTTTATTTATTCCTGGAGACAAATAAAGCAACAAGTCACGACTTCAGTGTAGAAAACAGCATTTGGTGCATCCAATATTTGTGGTTTTGCAGACCAGATTTAAAGGACTTTGGTGTTATTGCCACAGAGTTAGGTGCTTGGTTAGGTAGCTGTTATGTGTCAATAAAACTCAAATGAATGCCAGGACCAAATGTTAYGCTGCAGGGTTTTTCTCAGAAACAAGCTGGGCAATTTAACTCTCTCCACTTGTCAGGGCAGTGCAACATATCTGTAATTTATTTTCAGCGCAATATCAGAAATCACAAAGGACTGCTTGGACCGCATCAAATCTAAGACTGTTATATTTCAAGTGTGCATTCATGTTCTGCATGCTAATAACGTAATCTGTTCATTCAGTAGACTCTCRCTGGCCTTGATGCCCACACCTGCTTTAGATGATAGATAGAAGACAAAGAATGTGGATTTTTAGCAATTTATCTAATCATCTCAAAATTAAGTAGTAATCACAAATTTGCTAATGTCTTGCAACCCTAGAATGATACATGAACATGGAGACAATCATTCACACGCTCACTCACACCTAGAATATTTTATTTATATCTATTAACCTTTATTTAACCAGGCAAATCCTGTTGAGATCAGTCTTTTTCAGGCCTGAAGGCAGTGGAATCATGCATTGTACTGTGGAAGAAAACCCACGCTAACACAAGAACATGCAAAGRCCCCACAGAAAGACCCCAAGTCCATCCGGGGCTTGAACCCAGGACCTTCATGCTGTGAGGCTATGTCTGTGTCTCCGTTCATGGGCTGCATCCTCATGAGTACGTAGCCCAGCTTCCCACTCTGGGTAGGCTGCATGAAACTGCTGTGAAATGAGACGGTCTAGTCCAGCGGTTCCCAATCCTGGTCCTCAAGTACCCCTATCCAGCCTGTTTTACTTGTTTCCCTGCTATTCAGCAGGTCTTCAGAGGATTGTTAATCACTCATTCATTCAAATCAGGGAAACACCTAAACATGCAGGAMAGGAGTCCTTGAGGRCYAGGGTTGAGAATCACTGCTTTACATGTTATCTGTTTTATTATTTACAAATAAATGGCAAAGAATCAATGGCTTCCAGAGGCAATACTAAAAAACATAAAACTGAATCAATAATATATTTTGAAAATGTCTCACCAAGCTCAGAGAAGCTCTTGAGGTGTTGGTCAACATTTAAAGCAGTGATTTTTTAGACGTTTCTCTGCTCTGACACACCTGCTTTGAATGAATGAGTGATTAACAATCTTCTGAAGACCTGCTGAATATCAGGGAAACCAGTAAAAYATGCTGGATAGGGGTCCTTGAGGACCAGGATTGGGAACCACTGGTCTAGCCTTCGCGTTGATGTAAGTTTGCGTTACCCTGTTCCCATCTATATATCAGACTTAAAATGCATTGGGACATGTATTTACACATTTTCACTGAAAGAGTGACATCACTGTTAAATGTTACGTGTAAATACAGTGGTTTGCAAAAGTATTCATACCCCTTGAACTTTTCCATATTTTGTCACATTACAACCACAAACATAAATGTATTTCACTGGAATTTAATGTGAAAGAC